TATAATACATGGTAGTTATCATAAAGAATAATATCTATGAGTAGAGTACACCCAGCCTTTCTCAAAAAGATAAAGCTATGTTATCAACTATTAAGCCTGGCGGGAAGTGTTTGGATCATGGGGGCCTCCCCCACATATACTTTCTCTCTCTTGCTCCTGCTTTCACCATGTGACATGCCTGCTCTCTCTTTGCCTTCTACCATGATTGGAAGCTCCATGAGGCCTCCCCAGAAGCAGATGCCACTACGCTTCCTGTAGAACCTGCAGAACCATGAGCCAATTCAACCCCTTCTTTTTTTAAATAAATTACCCATTCTCAGGTATTTCTTCATAGCAATGAAAGAATGGCCTAATACAGAAAATTGGTACTGAAGAGTGGGTCATTGCTCTACAGATACCTGAAAATGTGGAAGAGACTTTGGAACTGGCTAACAGGCAGAGGTTGGAAGAGTTTGAAGTGCTCAGAAGAAAACAGAAAAATGAGGGAAAATTTGGAATTTCTTAGAGACTGGTTAAATAGTTGTAACCAAAATGCCGATAGGGATATGGACAGTGGAGACCAGGCTGACAAGGTCTCAGATGGAAATGAGGAACTTATTGGGAACTGCAGCAAAGGTCACACGTGTTATGCTTTAGCAATGAGCGTGGCCGCAGTCTGCTCATGTCCTAGGGATCTGTGGAAGTTTGAACTAAAGAGTGATGACTGAAGTTGGGCACAGTGGCTTATGCCTGTAATCCCATCACTTTGGGAGGCTGAGGCAGGCAAATCACAAAGTCAGGAGTTCAAGACCAGCCTGGCCAACATGGTGAAACCCCGTCTCTACTAAAAATACAAAAAATTAGTGGGGCATAGTGGCGGGCGCCAGTAATCTCAGCTACTTGGGAAGCTGAGGCAGGAGAATAGCTTGAACCTGGGATGTGGAGGTTGCAGTGAACCGAGATCACTCCACTGCACTCCAGCCTGGGCAACAGAGCAAGACTCCGTCTCAAAAAAAAAAAAAAAAAGAGTGATGACGTAGGGCATCTGGCAGAATAAATTTCCAAGCAGCCAAGTATTCAAGAAGTGGCTTGGCTGCTTTTAACAACCTATGATCAGTTGAGGGAGCAAATAAATGACCTAAAGTTGGAATTTATATTTAAACAGGAAACGGAGTATAAAAGTTTGGAAAATTTGTAGCCTGGCCATGTGGCAGAGAAAGAAAAAGCTTTTTTGGAAAAGGAATTCAAGCAGGCTACGGAGCAACTGTTTGCTAGAGAAATCTGCGTAACTAAAAGGGAGCCAAGTGTTAATAGCCAAGACAGTGGGGAAAAGGCCTCAAAGGTATTTCAGAGACCTTCTTGGTGACCCCTCCTATCACAGGCCCAGAGCCCAGAGAGGCCTGAGAAGAATGGTGTCATGAGTCTAGGCCCCACTGCACAGCCTTGGGACACTGCTCCCACATCCAGGTGCTCCAGCTCCAGCTGCGGCTCAAAGTGGCCCACATATAGCTCAGGCCACTGCTCCGGAAAATGCAAACTGTAAGCCTTGGTGGATTTCATGTGGTGTTAAGCCTGTAGGTGCACAGAGTGCAAGAGTGGTAGTTCCTTGGCAGCCTCTGCCTAGATTTCACAGAATGTATGGAAAAGGTTGGATGTCCAGGCTAAAGCCTGCTGCAGGGGCAGGGCCCTCACAGATAAACTCTGCTTGTGCAATGTGGAGATAAAATGTGGGGTTGGAGGCCCCAAACAGAGTTCCAGCCAGGACACTGCTTAGTGGAGCTGTGAGAAGAGGCCACCATCCTCCAGACCCCAAAATGGTAGATACACTGGCAGCTTGCACCCTGTACCTGGAAACCACAGGTACTCAACTCCAGCCCATGAGAGCAGTCTCAGAGATTGCACCCTGCAAAGACACAGGGGCAGAGCTGCCCAAAGCCTGGGCAGCCCACTCCTCACACCAGTATGCCCTGGATGGTGAACATGGAGTCAAAGGAGATTATTTTGGAGCTTTAAGATTTAATGACTGCCCTACTGGGTTTCCAACTTGTGTGAAACCTGTAGCCTCTTTCTTTTGGCCAATGTGTCCCTTTTGGAATAGGAAGGCTTACCCAATACCCCCACTGTATCTTGGGAGTAACTAACTTGTTTTTTATTTTACAGGCTCATAGGTGGGAGGGATTTGATTTGTCTCAGATGAGACTTTGGACTTTTGCGTTAATGCTAGAATGAGTGAAGACTTTGGGGGACTGCTGGGAAGGCATGATTATATTTTGCAGTGTGAGAAGGATATGAGATTTGGGAGGAACCAAGGGCAGAATGATATAGTTTGGATATTTGTCCCCACTCAAATCTCATGTTGAATTGTAATCTCCAGTGCTGGAGGTGAGACCTGGCGGGAAGTGTTTGGATCATGGGGGCAGATCCATAATGGCTTGGTGCTGTCTGTGTGATAGTGAGTGCTTGTGAGATCTGGTCATTTAAAAGTGTATGGCACCCCTGCCTCCCCAACTCTCTCTCTCTCTCGCTCCTTCTTTCACCATGTGACACCTGCTACCCCTTTGCATTCCGCCATGATTGAAAGCTTCCTGAGGCTACCCCCAAAGCAGATGCCTCTATGTTCACTGTACAGCCTGAAGAACCATGAGCCAATTAAACCTCTTTTTAAAAAAATATAAATTACCCAGTCTCTGGTACTTCTCTTTTCTCTTTTCATTTCTTTTCTTTGTTCTTTCTTTTGATGGAGTCTCGCTCTGTCACCCAAGCTAGAGTGCAATGGAGCAATCTCAGGTCACTGCAACCTCTACCTCCAGGTTCAAGCAATTGTCGAGCCTCAGCCTTCTGAGTAGCTGGGATTACAGGTGTGCACCACCATGCCTGGCTAATTTTTGTATTTTTAGGAGACGGAGTTTCATCATGTTGGCCAGGCTGGTCTCAAACTCCTGACCTCATGATCTACCCACCTCAGCCTTTCAAAGTGCTGAGATTACAAGCGTGAGCCACGTCACCCAGCAAGGTATTTCTTTATAGGAATGC